ACTGCGGGGTTACAGGCCTGTTTCACTTCTACAGATTGGATACACGCTTTTTGCATATAATTTTACTCCAGCGGTTGATCAACGCTAGCGCTGACGAACGCTTTTGGGACACTCAATTTGGATTTCGCCCTGGCCGTGGCACCCTCGACGCAATCTCCCTCATCCGCAGGATCGTTGAAGAGGCGAGCGCAATGCAGGATAAGCGCTTGGTGCTTCTAGCCCTGGGTTGGGCCAAGGCTTTCTACTCGATCGCGCCAGAGGCATTATTTCAATCGTTGGGGAGATTCGGCCTGCCAACCAAATTCCTGCGGTGCAGCGAGGCGATCTATGCAAATCGTCGGTTCTCTGTATCTGATGCTGGCAAGCAATCATGCCAGCGGAGTCAACACTACGGAATCTGCCAGGGTTGCCCATTGTCCCCGTACCTTTACAGCATGGCCATGACGGTGCTCATTACCGACGCCAAGGAGCTTCTGAAAGAATCTGGAACGCAACTTTCCACCAAGACGTATGCCAACGATATCCTTTATGCAGATGACACTCTTTTGATCGACGTCGACGTTGGCAACGTAGAGAAGTACATGCACTGCGTGCGCGATGAGCGGGCAGCGTCTATGGCATAAGTTTCACTTGGGAAAAGCTGGAGTTCGGCTCCTCGACAGACGTCGCTAGCATCACTGCGCCGACCAGCGACAAAGGCCAAATTGTTTGCCTGGGCTGCACGATCACGTCGGATGGGTCGTCCGGCTCAGAGCTCAATCGCCGAATCGGAGCCGCACGTGAAGAATTTGAAAAATACATTGCGTCTAGTCCCACTCCGGAATATCTCGCGCTACAAAGTTGGAGATTTACAACACATGCGTTGTCAGTAAACTCCTGTACAACCTGCACTCGCTTTGGCTGTCCTCCACAGAGATCCGAAGGTCGACGGGTTCCAGAACAGGTGCCTGAGAAGAATCATGAAGATACCGTTCTCTTCTTACAGCCATGTTGTGAACGCCTCGGTTCCACAGCGAGCATGTGCTAAACCTGTGAACAACATGTTGCTGGAAAGACAACTCAAATGGATGGGTTCATTGGCTAGGCGCAACACGACCGACATAGTCAGACAAAGCGTTTCCGATCCCGAGAGTTTGTCATTTAAGCCGTGAGAGCTGGCGGGCCCAAGACACGCCGCGGCAGACCCAAGACCAGTTGAGCGAAGGAGGTTTTCAAGCATGCACTGACTGCGACTGGCGGTGCAGAGAGGTTGAATTCATTGCTGAGCCACAGACCACAGAGTGAGTGGGAAGCCGTTGAGGAGGAGTGCTGCCACAACGGCGGTCATGTTTTCCCGTACTAAATGTGTCGTTCGGTGCACGCGTCTCTTGCTTGCTTGCTCAGCCTCGACTTTCTTCTCCCCTCCTTTGCGCTACTATGAGGCATCCTTCCTCCTATCTCTCCTCCTTTTCCAGGCATCCGTCTATTTCCCCAATACGAGCTTGCCTCTGTATGGGGTCCTAGCGGATTCATGTGGCTAGATGAGGTATGTCACCGGTATCCGCGGCCCGCCTGGGTGCCCCGGTGCCCAGGTGCCCGGGTGCCTTATAGCCCTATAGCCCTCTAGCTCTATCGCCCTAAAGACCTATAGCCTTATAGCCCTGTAGCCCCATAGCCCAATACCCCTATAGCCCTGTAGCCCTATAGCCTTACAGCCTTATCGGAGGTTGGGGGGTGAGATCGAAGTGGAACGGAGAGCCCCCCTACCGGGAAATCGATTTCGGTTTCGTGTTCGTGCGTGCCGTGCGTGCGGGCGAGGCGAAGCTGCGTGGGCGGGCGAGAGGAAAGTCTCCTGTGGCTGAGGCGCGGCCGGACCAAATGATTCTCCACCGGGGCGCGGGGCCGCGCGGTGTCCCGCCGGTGTCCCGGTGGTGTCCTCTGTGGCTGAGGCGCGGCCGCACCAAATGATTCTCCACCGGGGCGCGGGGCCGCGCGGTGTCCCGCCGGTGTCCCGGTGGTGTCCCGTCGTTGTCCCGTCGGTGTCCCGATGATGATGTTGATGATAATTATGATGATGATGATGATGATGATGATGATGATGATGATGGTGGTGATGATAATGATGGTGATGATGATGATGTTGATGATGGCGATGATGATGATGATGATGATGATGATGATGATGATGATGATGATGATGATGATGATGATGATGATGACGACGTCGATTGTGAGATCGATTGTGATCGGAGGTTGGGGGGTGAGATCGAAGTGGAACGGAGAGCCCCCCTACCGGGAAATCGATTTCGGTTTCGTGTTCGTGCGTGCCGTGCGTGCGGGCGAGGCCCCGTGCACCCACCGTGAAAAAAATCTCCACTGGCATCGTCAGGAGAACAATCACCACTGTTGCCGATTGCTCGGCCCCTCCACCCCCCCCAACCTCCTTATCACCCGCAGGGTGGTCGTATAGGTAGCCCTATCGCCCTAGCGCCCTTTAGCTCTGTAGCCCTATAGCCCTATAGCCCTGTAGCACTGTAGCCCTATAGCCCTATAGCCCCATAGCCCTATAGCCCTATAGCCCTATAACCCTATCGCCTTATAGCTTTATAGCCCTATAGCCCTACAGCTGATGTGCCTATAGCCCTATAACCCTATAGCCTCATAGCCCTATATCCCTACAGTCCTGCAGCGCTACGGTCCTATAGCCCTATAACCCTATAGCCCTATAGCCCTATCGCCCTAGTGCCCTATGGCTCTGTAGCCCCATGGCCCTATAGCCCCATAGCCCCACAGCCCTACAGCCCTGTAGCCCTACAGCCCTATAGCCCCATAGCCCTATGGCCCTATGGCCCTTTAGTTCCATAGCCAGATAGCCCTTTAGTCCTATAACTCAATAGCCCTATAGCCCTATAGCCCTAAAAAGACGTTGATTGGGTTTTCTCTGGAATAATTCCCAGTGCTCCCTCTTACAGATATCCGCCAATGACCCCTGGAGCGATGCTCCAGGGGACACCTGGCCCTAGTTTGATGACCCCCCCAGGGCCGACCGGCCCTGGGGGGTGGAGGCTACGTTCGACGAACCTTGCAGCTCCTGCCCCTCCTCCTCCTCCTCCTCCTCCTCCTCCTCCTCCTCCTCCTCCTCCTCCTCCTCCTCCTCCTCCTCCTCCTCCTCCTCCCCCTCCCCCTCCTCCTCCTCCTCCCCCTCCTCCTCCTCCTCCTCCCCCTCCTCCTCGCCTGCCGCAGCGCTCCACGGCCCTTCCCCGGTCCGGCCACCGGCGAGCGCTCCGACCCGACTTGCCCGCGGAGCCAGGTCGCCTGCCTTCGCGCATCGCGCCCCGCGATGCGCGACGCACGACCCTCTTCGCGCCGTCGAGCCCTCGCGCTGCCCGCTGGGAGAAGAGAAGCCGCTCTGGCCCCAGCCGCGACGCGCGAAGCGCGATCATGCTCGTGCCCCAGCGGGTGACCTGGCGGAGGCTCCCTTTCTCGCCTCTGCTTTCCCGCTCGTCGCTGCATGCTGGTCCCGGCTTGCGGCCGCTTCCAGACGCTCGCGGCCGCTCAGCTGGACCTTCCCGGGCTGCTGAGAGCACAGAATTCGGGATCCCCACAGCTCTGGTGCATCCCTGCACGAGCCTGAGCATGCTATTGCTGGGGTAATCTGCGGCCTGTGGGCCCCGAGGCCCGACAGAAGCCTCTGCACGGCGCTCTCAGGAACCAGAAGGAGGAGGAGGAGGAGGAGGAGGAGGAGGAGGAGGAGGAGGAGGAGAAGAAGGGAGGAGGAGGAGGAGGAGGAGGAGGAGGAGGAGGAGGAGGAGGAGGAGGAGGAGGAGACTCGGAGGAGGGCCCGTCGAGACAACGGCGGCCCTCCCTGCACAGTCCGCAGCATCTGCGCCTCCCGGGGGGGGCTTCTCGCCGCCGCGGCTGGGTCCGCCCCGAACAACTGGCCACGATCCACCTCCTCTGGTCACGAAGCAATCACGGCGGGCGTCTGTTTGCCGTGTTCGGCCTCCGCGAGCCCTCGCCGAGCCCCTGGGCCGTCAGAAAACATCTGACTCGGGATGCAAAGCCGGTCCCTGGAAGGGGCTGAAACCTCCCAGGGGTCGGAGGGGAGGGGGGTGAGGGGGAGGCATGGGGAGGGGGGGATGGATGGAGATGGAGGGGGAGGGAAGGGGAGGGGGGGATGTGGGGAGATGGATGGGGAGGAGGTGGGGCGGGTGGGGGTGGGGACATGCTGGATGTGGAGGAGGTGGTGGAGGTGGAGGTGGAGGAGGAAGGAGGATGTCCAGCGTCAGCCTCACGATGAAGATGGTGGTGATGATGATGATGATGATGATGACGATGATGATGACGATGACGATGACGATGATGATGATGATGATGATGATGATGATGATGATGATGATGATGATGCTGATGATGATGCTGATGACGCTGATGATGATGAGGAGGAGGAGGTAGTACATGCTGCTACTTCAGGTATATCAAAAACGACGGGCATGACTACGTCAGCGACATCAACGACGATATTGACGGCAGTGCCACCAAATACTACAATTCCCGCGACGAAAATGGCACGGACGAAAGAAATGATAACGGGGACGAGGACGACGGGACTGATGACAAGGATGACGCCGACGACTACCAATGTGATGACGTACCTTCTGCATACACTAATTCTGCTGCTGCTCAGATTGCGCTACCTTCTTCAAACCCACTGCCCACTGCCTACACGTGCTACTACCATCGGGTCTGAGACTACAGCGACATCCCATACTACAAAGTATTCAGACCATCGCCCTTACAACTGGAACTATCTCTAGAACTCGCACTGACACCAACACTGCCGCTGCCACAAGCACTACGACTGCAAGTGACAATGCAGTGCCACGCATTCTGCGACCAGTTCGCAACGAACTGCTTCACAGTCCCTCCTCCTGCCGTACAACTCCCATTACAGCTACCACGGCTGTCATCTCCGACGGAAGCGAAGACATCTCCGACGGAAGCGAAGAACAAAAAGCAGCCTCCGTGGCGCGGCGGCCTCCGCTGCAGGCGGCACGCCGACAGCAGCAGGCTGGCCTCAAGCTAGGTCGCCCAGGCGCCGGGGTGCTCGACTGCACAATGCCTAGGACTCACCGCCCCCGATGCCGCTGGGCGTCCCCCCGAACAGTTTTGGTTGCAGCAGCGGCAAGCCGTGGGACGCAGCGGGGCCGAATGGACTCCCCCCAAAACGTAGCAGGCTCGAAACACTCTCGCCAACACATGCCTCTCTCTGGGCACGCTTGGGGCGAGGTAAGATACCAAACGATGCCCGGTTGGGTTCCGGCAGGTCTTCCGAGGGCTGCCTTCCGCTCCTTGGTCACGCCGAGGTGCGCTCATCCTCTCCTCTCCTGAGGGCCCCTGGGCAGCCCGACACCTCCGTGGCGCTCTCCAAGGCTCTCCCAGATTCCCCATACGGCCCAGCAAGGCCACAAATGATGCACATGTGGCCGAACAGTGCTTCAAGAGCCACCCAGCAGTGATCAAGAACATCTTAACAACTCGAAGGAAGCGTCAAGGGGATCCCGACAAGCTTCCTAAACCTAAGGCATTCTGCCTTCCAAGGAAGCCCAAGCGACACAAATCAAGCCATATTCACATATTTGTTGGGAACGTTGCGCATCCTGGGCCTTTCCGCTCAAGATGGTCTCAAGAGTGCCTCTGAGGAGCCAGGGCGAGGCCGAAAAAGGCCAATGCGGGCAGCAACAACCCCCCCAGACGGCCGAGGACAGCACCAAGAGGGCCCCAAGACGGCCCAAAGGGGAAAAGGACAACCCAAGAGGACCCCGACGAGGCTTCCAAGACATCCCCAAGAGATTCCAGACGGCCCGAGACGGCACCACGACGACAACAGAGGGTCCCAACACGGCCCAAATGGGCCCCAAGAGGCCAATAGAGATCCAAGACGGCCTCACAGGAGCCCAAGATCCCCAACGACGTCCACGGCTCTTAGGCCCAATGAGATGCAGCGAACAGAGACGAGGTGGCACATCTTAGAGCCTTATGGGCGGTGCTCGTAACGTCAACACAAAGTCCAGCGCGGGGAGCTCTCTCGGAGCGAGTCCCCTCGCTTCTGGCAGCAGATGTACTCAATACAAAGTCGGCGGGAATGTCAGTTCGTATGATTCAGCTAGCTCCTGGCGCATAATGAAAGGCCAGCGTTGATGGCACGAAACAAACTCCGAATATGCGGGCCCGCGGGCAACACACATCGAGCCGTCAGAGTTGCTCACTTCGAGCGTGCTGGACCGCGTCGAGTGAATTTCACGTTGCGCCATTGAAAACGGTTGCCATGAAGCTCTCGCGAAGTGTGCTTGCTCGTGTCTGGCCCCCCACACGACCCACTCCGCGACCAACCCTGCGACCGACCCCACGACCCACCCGCGACCCACACGCAAACCTCCTGCGATCCACCCACATTGCCTTGAAAAAATTCGGCGCCTGCGGCGCGGGCTCGCTACGCAATGTGTTAAAAAACCGGCGCCTGCAGAAAGATTCTTGAGAGTCGCCCAGGCTGCAGACTTCTCCGCAACTGCAAGGTGCTACGTATGGCAGCGCGTAGGGTTGCACCTCGTAGCTTGCACCACAGAGCCCACACATCCACAGTGCAACATCTTGCTGTTCGGAAGCCACGCTGGCAAACCTAGCCCACACGTCCGCAAACCTCGGATCCTTCCCCGCCTTGGAGGAATAGCCGCTGGTTGGAACGCTCATCTCGTCGGAGATCTGGGTCTCCTTACTTCCCCCCTGTCCAGCATGCCGCGCCGCAGCAGACGGCACATCGTTCCACGAGCCCACCGCGTCTCGGCCCGAGGCGCGGCGGCTGTCCGCCGCGGGCGCCCCCCGCGGACGTCCCCTCGGCCTCCTCCCCGCACGAATCAGTCCCTCTCTACGAGCAGAGGACGGCTGCTCTGCGAGAGAGGCGTCGGGCTCGTGAAGCCCAGGCCGCTGAAGCGTGATTTCGATTCGGGGTGGCGCACTGGGGCGCGGCCCTGGCGGGCTCCTCCTCCCCGCCACGGGTGACAAAGGTCCCCCTGAGGGGCGAAACACTCCGAATACCGCCCAGACTTGCGAGTCTCTTCCCCTCGGTATTGTCCTAACTTGTTATCCTCCTCCTCCTCCTCCTCCTCCTCCTCCTCGCCCTCCTCCTCCTCTACATATCCCCCGCCTCATCCTCCCCGTTCCTCCCCTCGATCCCTTTTCTCCTCTCCTCCAGCGAAGCCTAAGGGCCGCCCGCTCGCGCCGAGCACCTTCATATCCTGACTGCCCACCTCCACCCGTTTAGGCCCACGAGGCCGGAGCCGCCATTCGCCAAGCCGCGCCCCCACAAGTGGTGGAGGCCTGCCCGTGCCCGAACTGACAGCCGTGATGAGAGGCCTCCCAGGTGGGGTCCGAGCAGACGGGGCTGGAGGATTACACCGCATCGCCGATGTATTGTGGATGCGTCGCCGATGATTCGGCGATGCGTCGGCGACGTACAGACAGACAGACAGAGGAGCCAAACGCCATCTGGCGCGTAGGCGGAATATGGCAGCAGGCTTTGGTTGCTGCTTGCAGGAACGAATTTAAATTGAGCATCGGTAGCGAAATTCGCAGCGAAATCGGCGACGTAGGCGTGGAGCAAATCGCGCATCGGGCCACATCGCCGACGCATCAGCGATGCGGCGCGATCCTCCGACTCCATCTGATCGGACCTCATCTGGAAGGCCTCCAGAGAAAGTGGAAACCAAAAGGTACGGATAAGCCAATCCCGGGTGTGTTCTGACCACACTTCCGAGGCGAATCCAGCGGTGGCGACGAGGGCCCCCCAGGAGGCCCAAGAGGGCGAAAACGAGGAAGGCTTAAGTGATGATCCTGCCTCGCCGCCGCCACCGTCGAAGACGGCAGCGAGGACGGCCATTTGCCGAGCCCCCGAGGCGGCGGCGCCGCACCAGCCCGACAGGCCCGAGGACTCGGGCGCCGCTCCCAGGCGCTGCCGCAAGCCCTGCCCGCGGCCGGGGGGGGTCGCCGCCGACGCCGACGCCGCCGAAAAACTGACGACGACAACGCCGACCTCTACGGGGAGGATGCCGACGACGACGCCGCCGACGACGCCGACGACGACGACGACGCCGACGACGACGACGCCGCCCTCGACGCGGAGGACGCCGACGCTGGCGACGCCGACGCCGACGCCGCCGACGACGCCGACGACGACGACGCCGTCGACCCCGACGGCGCCGATGACGACACTCCGCCTCCGGCGTCTCCTCGAAGTGCCGCGGCCAGCGTGTGTCGGTGGCGGCGGCGCCGCCGCCGTCGACGGAGGGGGGGACGCAGGAGAACAAGGAGGGAGGAGGGGAGAGAGGAATGATGAAAGAACAACCCACGCTCAAACCAACAGGGAGGATGAATGGAGAGGGGTCAGGGGATGAAGGTGCTACAGGTATGGGCGCGGGTTGTCGGACACCTGTAGGGGGCTCCCGTTCGAGGAAGGACCCCCATCTGACAAGACATACCCATAGCCCCCACGGAATTCCACGCCGAAAAGTCGAGAGGTCGCATAGGTGCGGGTGCTGGTTGTCTGCTCGTGAAAAAGAGGGCAACGTGACCAGTCAACATTGAATCGGGAAACTGGGTTGAATCGGAGTGTGCCTCCGATCGGGCTGTATCGGCACGGAATCGAAATTGACTCGGATCGGCTGCGCCAGGATGCAAAGCAGCGCCTTGCAAACATCAGGGACATCGGACCTCTGGGCCTGAAAGGGGGGGTTTTCAAATGGCGTTCCCTGAACGTGGGGAAGCTCTTGGCGAGCACACGGCTAACGTGATACGGCCCAAGAGCCCCCAAAGATCGCCCAAAGATCGCCCAAGAGGCCTCCAAGATGGCCCCAGAACGGCCCAAGGGGCCCCCAAGACGGCCCCAAGAGGCCCCCAAGACGGCCCCGGAGGCCTTTAAGACGCCGAAGATGGCCTCCAAGACGGCCCTTCTGGGCATTCCAAGGGGGCTCCAAGTCGGCTCAGAGATGCCCCCCCAAACGGCTTCCGACGGCGTCGGACGGGCCAGGGGCCCACCAAGACGGCCGAAGTTGGCACTAAGATAGCCCAAGACGGCCCAAGAGGCCTCCAAGAGGGTTTCCGGGAAGGCCTGAAAAAGCCAAAATCATTGATTTCCCATTGGTTTTTGAAGGACTGTGGCATTTGCTGTGTTTCGGCCTGCCGACGGCCCGAGACGTCCCAAGTGCCCCCAAAGATCGCCCAAGAGGCTCAAGACGGCCCCATGAGGCCCCCAAGACGGCCCAAGAGGCCTCCAAGACGCTCAAGATGGCCTCCAAGACAGCCCAAGAGCCCTCCAAGACGTCCTCCAAGATGACCCGAAAGGGTCAAAATGGTCTCCAGGCGGCCAAGATGACCTTCAAGATGCCCACGTGTTCCCCGAAGGCTTTCCAAACCGATTCGTGGAACACATGGTCCGATAGCTTGGCAGGCATGGCCGCAACCTTCGGCCACACAGGCGCTTCCAAACAGGCAGGGGACGGCGGTGATTCGCCGTAGTCGTCTTCGATAAATTTCAGCCAGCGTGGACCTGAGACAATGTGTTTCTGGCAACGCACGTTGTACAATCCATCTGGGGCCATCGATGGTGTTTAATAAATGCCTGTTCGCAGTGAGTTGTCCACTCCACTGCTCGCGCAATCATCCCACCCACCCAACCCATGCGGCGGCGATTGCGATGAGTGCTTGGAGTTAGCTGGTGCATCTCTGCGGCCGCCTTAGCCCGCGCATGCTCGCGCGCGCAAAGGCCAAATAAGTTGGCGTTGCCGACGCGGCCGCGGCGGCGCTGAGCTAGGCACTTCCCAGCGGCCAAATTCAATGCGAGTCGGCGACTTGGGCGGGCGCGGTATCATGCCAGCCAACGTCGACAACGGAAGGCGCGATGATGATGGCAACGATGCTGGTGACGATGATGGCAACGACGACGGCAAGGCCATTGACGGTGCCGATGCTGACGTGCGGTGCGAGGGGCCCGTTTGACCGAATTCACTGGGATGTTGAAAAACCCAGGTTTTCGTAAGAATTCGCAGGAGCGCGGGCGCAGGCATTTTTGAGCACTGATTTTGCGTCACCATGCAGGTTTATATGTTTACGGGACGCTCGGTTCTGACATCCGCATGTGCCCGCGACGACGCGCGCGCGCACTGCATCGCATTTGCTGCAAGGGATTATTGCGACAGCATGCGCGCAAGGTCGTTCGAGCGATTCCGACATACACGCGCGAGGGGCCCGCTTGGCAGCAAGTTTGAACTATGCTGAAAACCTTCGAGCGCAAACTTTTCTATGAAAACTCTGTTTGCGAAACCATATGGTCTGTATATGTGTTCGGGACACTCGGTTTTAAAACCCTGACAAACCCGCGCACATCGTCCCATCTGGTGCAAAGGATTCTTGAACAATGTTATGCCATGTGATAACGGTGTGCAAGCACACCGTATCTTTTGCAGGGGATGAGGTGGGGACCGATACTGGCCTGCCTGAAATGTAACAGTTCACATTTCGGATGGACGATGGGGCAGAACCGCATGTAAATTGCAACGCCAAAAAGGGCACCGATTATTCCGATGGGGGGGGGAAGCGGGGGGAAGGGGGATAATCGGAATGCTCTTTTTATACGGGAGAACTCATGTCCTACAACAGCTGCGGAGCTAATATACGCGGCGCAATTCACCCTGCCGGATTTGAAGTCGCGATTCCCACTGCTCGCGCAATCCCCCCACCCGTCCACCCGAAACCTATGCGGAGGCGATTGCGATGAGCGTTTGGCGTCGGCTGGTACATCGTTGCGGCCGCGCTAGCCCGCGCATGCTCGCGCGCGCAGCGGCCACTGGTTTGGCGCGACCGGCGCGGCCGCGGCCGCGCTGACCGCTAGGCGCTTCTCAGCGCGCACGTCGCTGTGAGTCGGCGACATGGGCGGGCGCTGTATCATGGCATCGTCGACAACGGTAAACGCGATGGCGATCGCAGCGACGCTGGCGACGGCGACAACGACGACGGCAAGGCCAACGAGGGCGCCGAGGCTGACCGCGTCGACGACGAGGACGGCGTCCTCGCGACGGCGATGAAGGTTTTGGAAACAGCTCGACTTGCGCGCGCGGCCGACGCGTGAGAGTGGCCCGCGCTGAATTGTTTGACACGGATCGTGCCCCTCGAAAGGGCGTCCGATTGATTTCGACATGCGGCGCGGGAGGCCCTTTGGCAGAATTTACGAAACATCTTGAACACCCCACGGTTTCCCTAATAATTCGCAGGCGCGCGAGCGCATGTTTCAAAAGCGAAGCTGTCGTTGCATAGACATGTTTTTGTCGGGGCGCTCACTTTTGAAATCCTTAAGGAAACTAAGGTTTTGGAATAATTCCGCAACAGCAAGCGCGCAAGGGCGTTCGAGCGATGCCGGCATGGGCGCGCGCGAGGCCAGTTTGGTAGTATGTTTTGAAAACGCTGAAACGTTGAAACCCGATGGTTCCCAACGGCCCGAAAACAGGCATTATTGCTGCGAGCGGTCTGGAGCGAAACCGTGCGTTTATATTTTTTTTGGATACTGCAATTTGAAACCCTGGCAACACCTAATTTGCGTTGTGAGATTTCCGCGTGCACGCGCGACGACGCGCGCGCGTGCACTTCGCCAAATCTGTTGCAAGCACCTTTTGCAAACTGATGTTTTGTAATGACCGAACGCGCGTGCATATTATTTTTGCACAGCATGAGGGGAGGAAACCCGTTTGGCTGGGGTGGTAGGAATTTATACTTGCGTTGGGCGATGTTGCAGAATCACATGTGCATGGCAAACCAAAAAAGGTGACCCGTTAAGTCCAGGAAGGGGGGGAGGTCCTGATACTCTTGCATATAAGAGTTTGTACCCAGTGCGTCTCCAGCTGATGAAGCAGCTTCACATAGGAGCCTGAGCCGGTCAATGACCCCCTCAGCATTGGACCCCATCCGGCCGAAGTCTGGCGCGCCCATGCCTGCGTCGACGCTCATGGGCTCGGGCATGTCCTCGCGCGCAGCAGAGGCCGAAGTAGCTCGTCGTGGGCGCTGGCTTACACCTGGGGTGATTGGCGCTCCTGCCTATACTTCTTTCGATTGATGATCCAATCGCTCCAGCCAAACTTGCCGAAGGGGATTGTCGCGCCTCGGCGGGCCCGTCATCAGAATGTCTTCTGGTCCTGGCACTTCATGCGTGGATGGAGCGGGGGCAGAGAGCCAACCGCCATGGGGCGTCGGCGCCACTTCGCGAGGCTCGATCATGAAGGTAGTTGCCGAGATGCTTCTCGCGGGCGACCTCTTCCAGGAGCGCCGGTCATCTGGGCGCGGGCCTGGCGGTGGCATTGGGTGGCGTGCAAAGGGCGACGGCGCCGATAGCAGATCGCGCGCTGGCCTTCCCAGTGGGTGCGCTGTCTCGAACCTGTTGCGCAGGGCGCGCAGCTCTTCCTTCGTGGGACTTCTCTATCCACGTTCGATGGCTCGGCGCCGCAATTGTCGCCCTGCCTGCCTCGGGTTTTCATGCCGATGGGTCATGATCTGAATCCGCTCGCGACCCTGCTGTCGAAAGCTCGATGCTGGACGGCGCGCGCAATTTGTCGCCCGCCAGCACCCCGATCACATTCCCGCGTTCGGCAGGAGACTTCGCCTGCAAATCTATGGGAAATCCCCATATGCTGCGCGCTCGGTAGCGCCGTGCACCGCGGCTGCAGAGCAATCTGCGAACTCCTTGCTGTCCATTGCGAATTCCTCATATACCTTTGCTGGATGTGCGGTGGGCCCTCCACGGGAGCCCTGGGCTGCTCGGATTTGGCGGACGCCCCCCCCGCCAGGCGAATCGCCCGAACCACGGGCGATGCGATGCCCCTGTCGTTATGTGTCGCGGTCCTCCGAAACGCACTCGAGGACGCATGCTTGTCGGTCGGCGTCGTAGCAGCGCAGCCATGCGCGAGCAAGCGGGTTTCCTCGGCGCTGCCCCGATGAGGAGCGCCCTCCAAGCCCATTTGTGCCACCTCATCCTGCGGTCGGGCGCCGAATTGCATCTCCAGCCCCGACGGAGACGGTTGAAGTCTCTGTGGGGCAGTGGCCGGGACAAGATTTGCGATCGCCTCTCACCATCGGCTCCCTCGCCGAGGCTGATGGCCTCGAACGCCTCGTGCGCGTGAGAATCATTGGCGCCCTATTTGAACTTGTAGTCGCAGCGGTGACGTCGTCTTTCTGCGTTCTCGCCGCGGGCGACGGCCTCGATGAATTCCCCCCGCGCATTGGGCCCCGTAGGAACCGGCCCCATGGATGGAGCCCCTTCTTCCCAAAAGTCGGGCTTCCTCGAGCCCCGCACTCACCTCGGCGCCTGTCATCTCGTGATTCGCGAAATTCCATCTGCGGCGTCGCCTCGCGTTCTGAGCCGCGGTCGTCAGGCGGGGGTCGAGGGGCCAGCTTTGGCTTCAAGGATGGCTCTTCCGATGGCACAAGATCTTCTGGTACTCGCGGCGCCTCTGGCCGAGATGGCGATTTAGCGCGTCTGGGGACCTTCGGCGGTCGGCGCGTATGTCCCCCAGGCTCGAACGCTTCGCGATTCCCTTTGATTCGAACAACTTTGCTGTCGGCAGGGGCTGCAGCGCGCTGCGGTTGCAATTCAAGTTTCTTCCCGCGCCTTACCACGGCGGTCGCGGGGCCGTGTGAGCCAGGGACATCCGCGAATTCCACCGTATATCCAGCCTATATGTGTGCCTCATACAAGTCGCGCGCGTCGTCGTCGTCGGCAATGTCAGGCACTGCGATAACCGATGGTTTCTCTACTGTGGCTCCTCGGACATTGATCCCGGGGCCGCGCTCGATCCACGGCCTGTCCTTGATGGCTCAATTCCGCGAAGGTCGAATGACTCGTCGTTGAGAACGACTTCTCCGACACATTCTCCGCCCGGCGCTCGCGGCGACACCTGGCCCGGTGGAAAAGAGCCGGCCTTCGAAGACGCCCGTGACTTCGACGTCGGTGCGGGGGTGCACGACGGCGCGCCAGCCGGCCTCATCCTTGCGACATGATGCGGTCGTGGCATGCGCTTGGGCTTAGGCCGCCATGCCGGCGGTTGCTGAAGTTTCGGGCGCGCAGGTCGTGCATTCTCTTTGCACCCGCTGCTCTGCGGGCAGCTGCACCTGATCCTACCAGCAGGGCCAGAGTTGATGAGCAGCTCCCCGCAGGCTTTGCACGCGTATCCCTTGTCGTCGGCGCCCTCGGGAGCGTCGGATGCCTCCTCGATGCTGACGAACGCGCGCCTCTCGGCGGAGCGCGCGACCTGGTCCCCCTGCCGCGCGGCGGTGGAGATGCAGCGGCCCGCGTGCTCAGGCGTTCAGAACCATGCTGGCAGGCCCGTTGCTGGACTTGGTCGCGCGCATCATCCAGCGGGTAAAACTCAAATGGGGTCATGGGCGTGTTCCTGCGACCTGGGCGCCCCGGCGCATTCGGGTGCCATGGTAAGCATTTGCATCGACCATCCCGTCGGATCTACGTTTCAAGCACTTTGGAGCGGCGTTAATCTCGGGCGGGAAGCAGGTTCAACTCCTCGAGTAGCCATGTCGCGTCGTGCGCGGCCTCTCCTGAAACGAAGGCCTGGCCCGGTGGTCTCGGTAGTCCAGGCGCTGCTCTGCGTCCGCGTGGGGGGCCGAGGTGGCTTTCTCTCCCGCGCCAAATCGGGCGCGCGGTTTTTCGCAATGGAGTCTCGTAGTCGTCGTTCGGGCACTGGTCATCGATGGCCTGGGTCAGGCGCTGGCTGGGAGTGTTGCACCATGGATGTTCAGGCAACGCGTCATCTAAGTAGACGCGTCACGCGGGGTAGATCCAGCTAGGGAGTGCCCACTCGATGCGTTGTCGCGCTTCATCTGGATCAGAAATGGGCAGGTGTTCGTCTGGATCGCAACGGGCGGGTGCAGGCGCAGCCGCGCGGCAGCATGCCGCGTCCACGTCGCGCGAGGCAGTGGTTCTTGATGACAATAACGCTGGCGATGCCTTGCAAAGATTGCGCTCGTCCTTGGATCGCCGAGGGGCGCCGGCAATGTCTGAAATTCTCAAGCCCATTCAAGCTCCAGACCACTAGTCTGCGCGCCTGGTGCCTGACTCCCCAACCGAACTGCCCCTGCCTGGAGCGTCGCGCGCCAGCGTCGCGGCGCGCTCCTGATCGGGATCGCCGAGGGTGCAACGTCGAGAGCGAATTGCCGCGGGGCCCGCGTTCGAGGTTCGTTTGCGCTGCTCCTCTTTTGCCGCTCGATACCTTCGCTTCGCCGCAAAAGTTGCGCGCGCAGAAATTGGGCGACATCTCGTCCTTCCAGTCGTGGGGCCTCTTCGTTGGCGCCAACGCAAATCCGATAACTGTTCGTCGTGTAGGATTGGTGTCTGCCTACCTGAATCGCGCCTCACGGCTGTTGCTCTGGTAAACGAAACAGGGAGAGCGCGAGCGCGCGCGCCGCGCCGGGCTCTTCAGCGCGCGGTTGTGAATTTGAACAAATCAGTTGAGCAGGCCCGACTACTAGTTGAGATAATGGCACTGCGTCCTTATCTGGCCTGTCATCGCCGTCGTCGATGCCCTCAGATCCCATCCCTGCACATTTTCGAAGCTTCGGCGTCGTCTAATTCGCCGCGCGAAGGCCGCGTGCCCAAGAGCCAGTCGTTGGCGGAGTACTGCCCCATCACTACTGCGCCATCGCTTGATTGCTTTATCAGTTGACGGTCGTGGCGCTGCTCCATCTGCGCTGCGCCCCGCAGTTCGTGGCGGTGGTATCGAATATCGGGTAGAGGGGCTGCTCGGCCGCCTCCTCGAAGTCGAGCTAATCCTCCGAGTCGCATCCAGGTAAGCGCATGCATTCAACGAGACTGGTGATCAGGGCGTTCTCTGACGATGCTCCTCGCTCCGCAAGGAACGTGCAATCTCGAGAAAAAAAAACTTCGGGTGGGCCCGCAATCGTGGCGTGCCATGGTCTTGCCGCCCTTGCCGGTCGGGTCCCGGCGTCGCCCTTTTCGTTTCCCTAATGGTCGCCGACGATGGCATGCACCTTCGCCGTCGCCGTTGCCACGGCCCCCAAAGTTAGCTCCTTCCTAACGGCGTCGTCGAGAGCTGTGGCGCAGGTACGGAGGCCACTGCCTGCAAGTCGTCAGCGGCCTCCTCCCCCCCCTCATCTTTCCCTCCCAAGGCCCGCTTCATGAACCTGCGAACTCGTCGTGCAGGTTGTCGCACGCGGCTTCTCTGGCGACCATTGTGGCACTGCCTGAGGTAAAGGAGCATTCCAGATGGTTGAACGCGAAGTAAAGTCCGCCAGATCGCTCCACGTGTAGTTAGTTCGTTGCGTAGACGGAGGAGATCGCGTCGGATTCGGTGCCGAGGTCGCCATTCTCCATGAGATCCTCCCACGGAGTCGCAGCCGGAGCAGCTGGTGGTGCCGTTGCTGCCGCCGCTGCAGCAGGCGTCGCTCAAGCGGTCAAGTTGCTTTGAACGCATGGAGTGCCGTGTGGAGCGTTTGTCCATGAGCCTGCTGCTGGGGCTCCAGATTGGGCTTGTACGTCTGCTTGGGCACCCCCTCCAAATCGGAGCGTCGCGCCTGCGACGCCGGCGTCGCCCCGGCCAGGGCCGCCCATAAGCTTGGCGATATAACCTGGCATGCGCTCGACGACGCGCCGTCGTCGCTGGATCGGCTCCAGCACTTGATATCACTATTGCTAGTTACCTCGCATCATGTCGTTGAGCCTTTGGATAAGCGACGATGCTTCGCGCGGGGGAACTCGTGAGGCTCTGACGAGAGTCGCGCACAGCAGCTGATAGTTGTCGAATCCGAATATTGCTGTTTCTGCTTCTGCACGAGCAGCCCCCCCACGTGCAAGATCGCCGTTGATGCGCTCGCCGTTGTGCACTCCGAAATCCATCAGCACCAGTCCTTGCTGCAATGCGCGTTCGTTTTCTAAGCCCTCGAACTTCTGCGCCAAGTAGTACGACGGGCGCGCGACTGGGCACGCCCTAACTCCGCCGACTTCGACCCCCAAGTAGGTCGCGCCCGACGGGATCATCATGGCAACGCTGCGTGCCAAGCCCTGGATGCTTCGCTTTAGGGCAGCCTCCCTGCTGGGATGGCGTTGCGCGGCCACAACAGACGTTGAGCCACGCGTGTACTTCTCGAACCCACGCACGTCCCAAGCGGGATCCCAGGAGGGACCCCTCGTCTGATCGTTCTCGCGCGCCCTCATCACGCGGCCGATGATGACGTCTATGGCAAAGGCCGCGGGCCCGGAGATGGCGAGGCTCGGGTGGCGGGGCCGGAAGGGGAAAACGCTGGGCGTGGCGGTTGCAGGGGGGGTGCCAGTGAGGACTCCACGGACAGCTGGATGTTGAGAAGGGTTCGCTGGTCAGCGCCACTCGACCTCGGCGGTGCGTTTGTCAATCACGTTCCAATGACCGTGCGTCGTGAAGAGCAGGACCTGCGTTGTAGTTGGAAGCGTTGTGGCAGAAATCCGGGTCGTTGGAGTAGCGCTCGAGATTCATTCCGAGCGCGCTTGCAAATGTTGGCACTGTCGGGGAATACTTTCCCCTGGTAGACGTCTGAGTAATACAAGGGGTTCGAACACCGGGACAAATTTCCTCGCGCGCACATGACCGGGGTAGTGGTAGGTGGAGTCGCAGTAGTAGCGTCGTACTTGGCGACGGTCAGGTAGACGGTCAAGAAGGTTTCCACAATGCTTTTAAGGCATGTCCGTTTCCACGTAGATGGTGATGTGGGTGGTGGTCGGTGTAGACCATGTTGGTCGTCAGCACGCCGATGACGCAGACGAGCAGGCCTGCCGCAAATGCGACAACTCCGTTACCGGGTCGAACCAGGATTCGCAATCTCATCGTAAAATAAAACAGGGGCGTGCAACATGAAAGGATGCAATGGCGATGATGGCCATGGGGCAGGGCAGATGCCTCTTTCCTGATCACCACCGCAATCTTCCTCTTCCATCCCCCTCCCCCTCTCAATGCTTTCCCCCGTGTCCTCCTCCTTCTCCTTCTCCTCTTCCTCCTCCTCTACATTCTCCCCGCCCTCGTCCCTCTTGCATGCCCCGTCCTCTGCCACATCACCCGCACTTCCCTCTCCCTGTCGTCCTCTTCGTTTGCCTGGGCGAAGCGCTGATGCGGACGAGAGATCACCCCCGCCTCACACGATGGCCGGCCAGGGGTGGCACACGGCACGCCACCTCCTTCACCACGGCTGCGCGCCCAGCGCAGCTTGCACCGAAAGCCAGCCGCCTCCGTCTTGAGCCTCACGGCGGAGCCGGAGGCGTCTGGCGCTCGGTACAAACTCAAGATTTGAGCCTTAGCGTTCTCCCTCCAGCACTTGAAGGGGAAACGCTGAGAGGGCCTGGTCTAGCTCAATACGACCCCAAGAACGACCAAATAAAGACGCGAAAAGACCTCATGGCGGCCCCAAATTGCCCCGACAGATCGCGAGATGGCACCGACCCAAAGAACCAATGATGCCCCCCAACAACCAACGACGGCACCGCGAAAGTCTATGCCCGAGGAGCCCTCTCAAGAGGGCCGGCCGAATGGCGCAAACCTTTCGATTGAAAGGGGACTCGCTCGGGAGGGGGAACATTGATTCCGAACCAGCGATGCAGCGCACATGGATCGGCGACAGGCCCCTGGTGGCAAAGCCGCACTTTCGAGGCCCCCAGGCCTCTATAGGCGATGAGGCCCCTATCGGCGATGAGTGGGCGATTGGACGTCGATGCCCCCACCAATGAGACTATCCTCCTCCTCCTCCTCGTCCTCCGACGACGACGACGACGAAGATACCGAAAACGACGTCGACGACAAAGCTGCCGACGGCGACGACGAAAAAAACGCCACCGCCGACGACGACGAGGACGCCGATGACGAAGGCGAGGACGGCGGTGAAGACGACGAAGAGGACGACGACGACGACGACGAACACGACGACGACGACGACGACGACGACGACGACGTCTAAGCGCACGCCGCGGGCCTTCCCGCAGGGCGGCGCCGCGGCCGCCCACCCGCCGCAGGCCGGGCGGGCGCCCGACCTCGATAGCGCCCCGCCGGCGGGGGGGCCGCGCCGGCTGGCAGTACGCACCCCCCTTGGAGGCGGGGGGAGAGGGGGAGTCGACGGATTGCTGGCGCCCTCGGTCGGTGGGGCCCTGGGCATGGTGGAAGCCAGTGGCTCTTCGGGTATCTGGCGGGTGGAGGCATGTGCTGGTTCGCGGGTGGGCTGAGGAGGCCGACCGTTTCTCTGGCGGGGTCCTCGCACGTCTGCGGGACAGCGGGGGCGTGGGGGCACCGCGTTGTTCCTCAGAGCCGTTCTGACGGGCGCCTTTTTCACAAACATGCCGCTGGGGCGTCTATATAATCAAATTACCGCGATACCGCTGCGGTGCCAACAAGACGCGGAATCACACGAGTGACAACCTTCCTGAAATGGGACTGCTCGAGAGACACGGCGTTGCACCGACCAGCGTATAGGGGAAGGCGACTGGAAATGTCCGTTTCTATCATGTTTGCGCCCCGATCCGCGCTTCCACACATGTTGGTCATTTGCAGCGTCATGATGTGTAAGTGGTACTGGAATCGCCGTTCGTGAGGCGGTGGCTGTTCTCGCGCGACATATTGCCACATATCTGTTATTCTTGGTTCTGTCATGACTAAGTAGACCAAATAACACTCACTCAAACATGTGGACTGCAACTACCATTATAATCTGCCAAACATACATCCTTCCTTGCCGGCGAAAAACACGGATCTGACCAACTACCCTGAAGACCACACGGACGGAAGGAGAGATTGGAAAACCCTGAGATCCGGGCGTTCGCATTTTTGTTACACTGGGTGCTTTCGCTCGGCATCGGTCGCCAGGACAATCACAAATCGAGCCCGCTCGAGACAAGGCGCGATAAATGTGGTCGAAGACTCCGGTCGCAAATTGTCGGAACCCGCGTGGCCATCAAGACTGGATACAGGACGAGAATCTGCCCTGGGGGCCAGTTTGTGGCAACGCGCGAAGTATGGAACGCTCGTGTACCCTTGACTCCGCCTGCCGCAGCTGCGGCACTCAGGGCGTGGAGAGATTGCAATTTGTAGTCGTGGCGCTCGCCGCTCGCGGGGCAGAGAGTCGATGATCAGGCCCCAGCCGTGGATCTCTGAGTCGTTGTCTCTGTACCCGTCTGCTTTGCCCTCTGCTCGGCATCATATGTGCGCGCCGGCCCCAGAGGCGACGCGCGCACTCGGAAATCTTGTATTATAGGTTCGGTGGCGGGCGCGTTCTGGCGATACCGCCTGGGTAACGATACACTGACATATGTGTGTATAGACTTTTCCCATGCGGAACACCACGTGCGACACAACCACGCCACAAATCAACATGTCGCAAGGCAAAGCGGGCACACCACACACGCCGACCTGAACAACACACGAATGCCATGAACCGTGGCCTGAACAACACGTCGACAATGCAGATGCGGCGTTGAAATATATGTGCCGTGTACAATTGTGTTCGGTTCGGACCTGTGCTTCAAGGGGGTGCATCATACTAATATGTCCTTCTGCGTCCCATCTGCCGCCGCCCGCAGTCGGCTCGCAGCCCTTGACCTCGGCGGTGCCGACAATACTCGCTGAGATGGATGCCCACCAAAGAGCGCATCCGAGTGCCCCCCGCCGAATTCCTGTCGAGCTGGGAAAGCAACGCCACACGGGAGTCCTGGCCGACGTGCCGAGGCACCGTCAAGGGCAAGCCGTCGCTTTCGAACCTCCTCCAACGAGGCAGCGCGATCCAACTCGAAGGGTGATGATCGGGTGTCCCGCAAGCGCTGCCAACATGCGAGGATGTCATGCCGCGGCTTGTGCAAACATCCCCCTTACGACATCTTGAGCACGGATGTAATTTCGCTTGGGCGCACTACCAAAACCACACATCCGCAATCCTCTCGCTACAAAGACCCCAGGTTAATCGTCCTACCCCTTCCCCGTGGCACCCGTTGCAAGGATGACTCGGGCCCCGGTATGTCGTCCAGATTTTCCCTGGGCGACTGTCCGTGAGCTGGCACACGGATCGATAAATTCCAGAAATTCCATCTTCTTCAGAGCTCCTGAACATGATGACAGTCGCACGGATTGGGGTCTCGGGAATGGTGGGGTCCCCAGACGAAAAGTAACTACCCCTGCAAGTCCCTGTCAAGCCCCGGTCAGGTCCCGGCTGGGTCCTGGCCGGGTTCTGGGCAGGTCCTGGCCAGGTCCCGGCCAGGTCCAAGCAGGCTCCCAAGAGCGCTTCAAGTGGCCTCCGAGAGAGCTCAACATGGTCCGAGACGGTCCAAGAGCGATTCAAGACTCCAAAGATTGCCCCCAGACAGCCCAAAGCGCTTTCAAGACGCCCCAAGAGGCCTCTAAGAGACCCCCAAGAGGGCCCACAGAGGAGAAATTAGTGATTATCCTTCGGTTCTGATGGTTTTTGGCGTTCTCGCCTTTTCGGCTCACTGGCGCTCCAAGACGGCCCAAGAGGCTTCCAAGACCGCCCCAAGACGGCCCATGAAGCCTCCAAGAGGGCCCCAAGACGGCCCAAGATGGTCCCAAGACAGCCCAAGAGGCGCCCAAGACGGCCCAAGAGAGCCCCAAAACGGCCCCACACGCCCGACGCACACCCTGAACTTGTGGGGCCCCGCGACGACCCAGCAAAGCGACACGACGTGCCAGCTACGCTGCCGCGGCGGCGTGTAGTTCGGCTGCCTGGCCGGCGCCGTCCGCCCCAAGGGCGGAACGCAGCTGCCAGGCCGTGGACCGCCCGAAAGCCACGCTGAGCTCTCGGCCCCACCAGCCCTCCTCCTCCTCCTCCTCCTCCTCCTCCTCCTCCTCCTCCTCCTCCTCCTCCTCCCCCTCCTCCTCCCTTCGCTCTGAGAAAGCGGCGGGCGACCAAGCAACGCCGTGCCGCCGGACCCGCGCCGCCTCCTGCAGCCCGCGCGGCAAGGGCGCCTCTCGGCTGCTGGGCTGGTCTCTCCGAGGGGCTCTCTTTGCTCCACTGTCCTCTTCTCCTCCTCCTCCTCCTCATCCTCCTTTGCGTTGGGCGAACTTGAGCGTCATGGCTGGAAAGTTCCGCTGGTGCAACAAAAAACACTTAGGCACAATGGTGACAAATTGATGTGAATTAAGCGGTAGGCCCGTTCGGTGCAGGAAAGGCGCAGAACATAGGAACAGCGGAGTGCCCAGAAAAGGAGCGGTCCCGCGCCTCGTCTTTAACCTCCTTCCTCTCGTCGCGAAAAATAGCGACGCGTGGATTATTTTCTGAAAGTTCGGCCTCTGGATCGGAAACGATACACAAACGTTGTTACATAAACTTTTTCGGTCCCCGCCCAGTCGGCCACATCTACATGAACTTTTTCGGTGCCCGCCCAGTTGGCCCCATCCCCAAATAGCTTGATGATCCGAAGATCATCGCCTTGTTCACAGACCGTCGCCTCCAGGGGGTGCATCGTCTATGCGTTCGCTTGGGCGGGGGCGGGGGTCGGGCAAAGAATGTTTCAATTTCTGGGCCCTGTAATCTTCTCCTGGGCGATGGTCGTGTCAACTTTTTCCGATGCCAAATTTCGTAAGCCGTGTCATTTTTTGGAGCCAGGCAGGCCGGAAACCCAACGCAAAAATTGAGGCTGTCATGTGGCCAACGAAACGGCGGGGCGGTCGGAAATCGTCGTCATCGGTCGGTCGGCCGGTCGGTCGGTCATCGTCGTGGTCGGTAGGCCGGCTGGTCGGTTGGTCGTCGTCGCTGCCGTCGTTGGCGGTCGGCCAGTCGGTCGGTCGGTTGGTCGGTCGGTCGTGTCGTCGGTCCTCACGGCCGCACAGATTAGCGAACCAAAATGGCCCAAAGAAAAACACTCCGCGAAATAATCTGCGGGCAATCCGTCGCAGTTCGCGGCTATCCGCCTGTAAACACGCAAAGCGCAGCTCTCGGTCCCTAAACACCCTCCTAGGCCCGAGGCTGTAATCTTATGACTCTGCTAGTGTGAGGAGGGGGAAGGGGGGCAGGATCGGGAGAAACCGCTCGCCTGCAGAAAAAACGTGTTTCTAGAATTTTACCAGGCTCACGTCTTCATCTGCCGGTCGCGGTCGGTTGGACGGTCGGCCGGTGGTCATCGTCTTCGTCATCGGTCGTCGTCGTCGTCGTGGGTCGGCCAAGCGGTTGGACATCGTCATCGTCGGTCGGTCCGTCGGCCAGTCGGTGTGTCGGCCGCGCGTCGGTCGGTCGGTCGGTCCGTCTTCGTCGTCGTCGGTCATCGTCGTCAACGTCGTCGTCGGCCAGTATTCCGGGCCGTCGGTCCATCGGTCGTTGTCGTCGGTCGGCCAGCGAGACGGTCCGTACATCGATTGATCGGTCGGCTGGGCCTCGTCTTCGTCGGTCGTTCTTGGCTGTCGTCGAAGTCGTCGGTGGGTCGGTCGCTCGGTCGTCGTCATCGTCGGTCGTCATTGCGGTCGTCGTGGGTCGCCTCAGGGGTCCTCATCCCCTCCCTTCCTCAGTCTCCCCCTCCCCCTCGCTCCCTCTGACTCGGGGGTCATCCTCCTCCTCCTCCACCTGTTCCTCCTGCTCTTCCTCCTCCTGCTCCCCCGTCTCTTCACCTTATGAATTACTCCGCCCCGTAGCACCCCAAGACGTGTTGGTAGGGCGAGCAGAGCGTTTCGCCTGAGACTTCCTCACCATGCAGTGTCCTGAAGCTTGGGATTCGTACCTTACAAGGATGCAGCACAGGTGGCTGTCAAAATGTTGCTCTTGCTTCAGCGCCGCGCACCTCCGTCTTCAAAGCTTGCAACGGTTATGATGACGGAGCACAGATCGGTGTCAAAGTGGTACTCTCGCCTTAGCGCAGCGCGCATTCGTCTTACAAGCTTGCGACAGGTAGGTAGAAGGATCGAACACAGGCGATTGAGACTATTGGGCTCTCGCCTCCGCGCAGCACACATGTGACACCTGTGTCGCACAAACTTGCAACAGTTACAAGGATGGAGAGGGGGTCCTTTCCACATGGGGCTGCCACCTTTGCTACGCGCGCAGTCGTCAAAGCTCGCAACAGTTAAACACATGGAGGGCGACTCATTTTCAAAAATGGGGCTGAGGCTTCACTGTATCTCCATGCTGAAAGAAAGAAACTTCAACACATGTGCCAACTGCCCGTGTGGAAGCCGTCTCCATTTCAACGTGGTGCTCTCGCTTGAGACGTCCTCGATTGTCATGGCCAGAAATGTAAATGTGCAACGGCTACATGGGTGCGGGGCGGTCCTTTTTCAAAACGTGGGTCTCGCTGGACATCACGCTGATCTGTATGATCATACCTTTGCGCAGTCTTGACTACATGCTAGAAAGATTCAATGTAATTATTTGTCAAAGCGGGGCTCTCACTTGAATAACAAGCCCACACATGCTGGTCTTTCAGGGTGTCGCTACTTGTAGTGGAACGGACCTGGGACGGGAGGGTGTGTTGTAGCACCGCTAATGCATCTTGGGCTTGCTCTAGCCCTCCTGCTCTTCTTTCTGTTCCTGCTCCTCCTCCTCTCTGAAATTGCTTCATCCTTCTACGTATCCTCTGGCTCCTGTTGCGCCACCCTCCTCCCCCCTCTCCTTCTGACGTGTTCTTCTCTTCTTCCTCCCGTCCTCCTCCTGATCATCCTTGTCTCTGTGATTGTCCTCATCCTCGGTCGGCCAATCAGTCGGACACTGTCGATTCCAACTTAGAGGTAGCCGGGGGAGGCGTTCTCAGCCAAAATGTTCGCCCAGGCCCTCAGGGCGACTGGCCAAGACGGTCAGCCTCGGGAGCCAACTCCAAGTCGCGATCGCAGGGGTGGAGGGGGCTACAGTCATCGTGGTACCATGAGGAACGCTGAACAAGTAACGAAAGGGCTGTTGTGGCCACGGCGAACCTCGGCCAAGAACAGGTTGCCCGACCCACATCTGAGGAACGGCAGGGAAAAACATATACCCTCCTAGGCCCCGAGTGAGCCACGCGCGCACCTTCCCCCAACTGTGCAATCCCCCGCCGCAAACGTGAGCACATGCGGGCACGACGGTCGTGGACCTTCGCGCAACTTCCTGCCCCCCCCTGGCCTGTTGAGAGGCCACTCCTGAGAGGTCTAAGCAAGAACGAGTAAGGGCCGTTAAGCCCATCAAGGGGGCGTTGAGCCAGGCAGAGCGGGAGCAGACTCAGGATTAAACCAACTTCGGCAATATAACACATGCCATGGGTTCATGCCGGAGCAGGCCTCCTTCCGCCCACGGCGACCTCCGATGCACCAGCACCGCCTCTGAACTGGACCTCCCAAGAGTTGCGTCCGAAGGTTTGTGGGCGGCC